TCATTAATTAGGAAATCTTCTAACATTACATCTTCATTACAAAATGCTTTGCAGTTAGAAAATCTGTTAAAACCAATTGATATTTCAAAACTACTCTCTTCTTTTTATAGTAATAATACTAGTATTAGGCATGCGCCACTAGTAGAAAATCACGTATCCTAAACAGAATATTCTACATAAAAAAATTTTCGTCTAGTTTGCTATTAAACTAGACAGAAAATTTACGTCTAGAATATTCCGTCTAGGATAAAACATCCTAGACGTAAAATTTTCATCTAAACTAGCAAAGTAGATGGTTCTTTTTCCGTTTAGGATAGCAAAGTAGACGGTTCTTTTATATTTAAATTTTTTTAAATTTGGCCAAGTATCCTAGACAGAAATTTTCGTCTAGGATACTTGGCCCATTTTTAAAAAAATTAACCCATCAAAACCCCAGCCGCCCTCCTTTCCGCCCTCAAGTCCTCCCCTCTCCCCATCTGTCGCGCCCTCCACTCCCTCACCCTCAAGCTCCGCCCCCTCTCCAACCCCTTCGTTTCCACCTCCCTCCTCGACATGTACGCCCACGCCAGGGGGGTCCCCTCCGCACGCGCAGTCTTCGACTCCATGCCCCAGCTGTCGGCTGGGATGGTCGTCGGCCATGATCACCTGCTACGCGAAGCCCGACGATTTGGAGACCGCGCGACAGATGTTTGATGGAACGACCGCGCGAGATTGCGTCTGTTGGGACGCGATGATCAATGGGGTACGCGGAGCACGGGCGAGATTGCTATTCCCTGTAACATTTCTGTTGTATTTAATGTTCTCAACCATGTAATGTATATGTTTGTTTAGTAGTCTTTGTCCTCTGAATTATGGTAAATAATTGAAACTTTTAGTGTTATAGTTGATGATGTTGGAGTTTAATTTAGCTGTCCGATATCATATTATCGTTCAATATCTAATGACAAACTTTACTGAATTATATTTGAACCTTCTATTGTTAACTGAAGCGAAGGTGATTGAAGTAAAGCATCCGAAGTTGAGGCTATGTAAGTTTCTTGTTAGGCTTTCGTTATTTAAATTGACGTTGTAATATAGAAATTTATTACTTCTACTTTTTGCATTTCTATTATATTAAATATTGTTGGAAACATATATAATAGTTTGAAATTTTTATTATGTTATTATTAGTATGTTTGCAGTACAATTCAGCGCACTGTCTCTAATGAACAAGTGTACTTCGTTTATATTACCAATTACATTCACTACAGCCACTATTTTCACTTTATACCATTCTAGTATCTTGCAAAATAAAATACACACAATTATATGTTATTTGATAAATACACATATGGATAGGACAAATGCTCCAATTCATGTCGTAGGCTTTAATTTATGAACTGTATTTTGCAAATTTCATGTAGTACACTTTACTATGTTTATGATGATCTTCAATCTTTACTGTGGTTTCCATTTGTGAGAATATTCTTAATTAACTAAGCTAGAATAGCGTTAGAGATGAAGAGTTTAGATTCACTGATATAAAATATTGTTAGCCTGTCATATTTATACATACATGTATACTGCAGGGATCACCACAGAATGACAAAGGATGGGGAAAATTAGTAATAATTTAGTCCTGAGCATGTCTTCCTTTTGATTCTTTAAAAAATGACTAAGCAATGTTTGATCCTGAGCATTTTTCTTTTGTATAATCTAGTGGATTCTAACTCGAGGTCATAATTTTTGTCAGATTATGTTATGGAAGGAGAGGTCTAAAGTTGTATGTATAACGTCTTCTTTTAGATGATTGAATGCAGACTTTATATCGAGTTGGGATAACTGCTCACATTGGCTATCTCTAGCATATTCAAACTTTGGTTTGGTTGTCACGCTTGAATTTGAATCTTGGTATTGTTTTCTCAATGATTTTCAGTGCCTTATCTCCAATGGATAAGTAGGAGAAGCAGCTAGGTGAGGAGACGCTGAGGGGAAAATAGAGATGCTGGGAAAGGAGATGCTGAGGGGAAGGGTCATTAAAGAAATCTAGAAATTATTCGTGAATTGGTTCAATTGGCGATTAGAGTTATCAGAGAATTGGTTCATTTCTCATGATTTTAATGATAACAAGTAGTATATTATGTGTTGTTGAGGTCCGGCTTTAAGGCGGTTGAGGTTACGACCGTCACAGTGCTGTTTGCTGTGGCCTAGTTAGGGTTGTTGGACTCGGGGAAGTGGGTGCATTCTTATGTTGAGAATCATAGAAGAAATATTGGGTTTAGTGTGAGAGTAGGCACGGCGTTGGTCGATATGTATTATAAGTGTGGCAGCTTGAAAGATGTGTGCTTGGTGTTTGATAAAATGCCTGAGAAGGACGTTGTTGCTTGGAATTCGATGATTGCTGGTCACGCAATGCATGGACACAGCTGGTGTAAGGTATTTTTATGTTGAAGTTTATTTTTGCTAACAAATCCTTATGATTTATTATTCTATTTTCATGTTAATTAAAGTTTATTTTTGCTAGGAAATCCTTATGATTTATTATTTTGTTTTCATGTTAATTAAAGTTTATTTTTGCTAGCAAATCCTTATGATTTATTAACACACCCTAAGCACTAATTTTTTATGTGCATTTGGATGCCCACTTATTTTACTGTTTAATGCCACAACAGATCATTCTAGATTCTAATTTCTTCTTTTGGTTTGTTTTTATAGCTCATTTTGTTTCCATTTGCACTATTTCTTTGTCTGTACCAGAATTACCTTGTTGGAGCATTCAAGTCACCATGTAATATTGTAGTAACATTTTCTGATGGGACCCCGGTTTCAACAGGTGGCATGACTCTGGTAGACCTGTTTGTCGATGCATTGACATCCCTTGTAATTAATTTATGTAAAAGTTTGTAAATAATTTATATATCTCTCTAGAATTTTGGTGAATGTATTATGTGAATATAATTGGATTTGATATTTGAATATAATTAAATTGTGTTGGATATGAATATAATTTGGTGTTGTTCAATATTGTGTACATGCACTCAAAGTAGATTCTGAAAAAAAACTATTGTAGCATCCTAGATGGATATTCCGTCTAGGATGCTTATCCTAGACGGAAAATTCCATCTAGGATGCTTACATGTATCCTAGACGGAAATTCCGTCTAGGATAATTCTAGATGGTTGTTTTTTTTTGTCTAGAACTATTCTAGACGGTATTTTATTTTGTCTAGGATACATTTCCGTCTAGGATATTATCCTAGATAGAAATTCTGTCTAGGATGATGCATTCTCGACGGCAACAAACTCGACTAACATCCTAGACGGAATTCCGTCTAGGATAACCAATTTAGACAGAAATCTAGCTATCCTAGACAGAAATTTCCGTCTAGGATGCTTGATTTTCTACTTGTGCGCGTTGCTACGGGTATTATTACCGAGTCATATTTATTGCCAAATTTATAATATGGTTGTAATATATAACAAGTTATAAAAACTTCAGCCATAATTTTATACAACTATTTACAGAGTGAATTTCCAAACTAGTGAATAAAATAATACATCAATTAGCATGTTTTATCAATTTTTCTATAATGAAGCTAGAAAAGATTTATATTTATGAAATGTCTAACAAAAGTTAAATTCATCATTTGTAAGAATAAAATATGAACAACATTTTCAAAATTAAGAATGTCACATTTGCTTGAACAGTAGATAAAGGACTTTAAAATTCACTATAGCATGTAAAGCACGTTTAAGATTCAAAAATTATACTGTAGCATGAACAGTATTTAAGGGAAAAATATTACTGCTTAAACAATATGGCTAAAGTTGATAATATTACCGCAGTATGAACATTAATTTAAATATCTTTAATCATGTTATAGCAAGAGTAGGGTAAACAGTGATTTTAATATTCTAAAACATATTGTAGTAAAAATAGTGTTTACAATAGCATAAATAGTAATTTGGAAGCTTTGTTTTCAAGTTAGAAGTAGTAGATATTGAAAGTAACACCGAATAGAGGCTAGAATCAAAGGAATTTAATAGATTATCTTGATTTTCTACTAATTTCTTTTCTATTTGCGTTTGATGTGAAGAAAGGGAAAATAGGTTTTGCTATAGTTTTAGGACACACTATTACATGTTTAGGATTGTGTATTTGATTCTTTGTATAACTTCATGAGAATTAGATAGTGTTAGAGATCTATCATGATTAGGAGACTAGGGTTCATCATGATTAAAAGTTTGAATTCTATTCTAATTAGGAAGTTAGGCTAGAGATACGGTTTTGGTTTCCCTATATATATTCTTCTATTGTTGGAGAAAAAAAATACTAAGGCCCGTTTGGTAAAGGGTTAAGGAAGAGGGATTAAGGAGAACAATTAACATAGTTAACATACTTGATAATCCGAAAGATTAAATTATTAACTCATTATATAAGTTTTATTTTAGCCATTGTGATCATTTTTAGTGTTTGGGAATAATAAAGATTTTGACTATTTTCTTTATAATTAGAAGGGTTAACTCTTAATTCGTCTAAATAGGAGTATTAGTAAACCCCTTATTTTGAGTGGTTAACTCATTTTAATCCCTTTAGAGGGGTTAGTTTAACTCTTCTATATTTTTTATGTTTGGAAAATTATGGAGGGTTAACTCACTTTAACCCTTGTATAGTTTTTTTGTGTTTGGCGGGTTAAAAAGGGGTTAAGTCTCCTTAACCCCTCACTTAACCATTTGTCAAATGATACCTAAAAGTAGAGAGAAGGAGAGAGCCAATATTCTTGTAATCTTGGGTTAGCAGAGAGTGTAGACTGATTCAAGAATATTGTGCAAGAGGCGAGGGTTTCATAGTCTTTGTCCGTGCAAAAGGTTACATCATTGAGAGAGGGTTTCACAGTCTTTGTCCATTCAAAAGATTGTAAGAAGAGGGCTTTAGAGAGAATATGAGAGTTGATTATGTATGTGAAGTTGAGAGATTAAGAGACGAGAGTTGAGTGGTTCCTCTTATAGTTCTCCCTAATATATAGTAGATTTCTCGTATTGTTGCCCCGTGGACGTAGGTCGAAGTTGGTCGACCGAACCACGTAAATCTCGATGCTCTTTCTTCTTGATTGTGGTCGTTTTATATCTTGTTGATTGTGGGTTGACTTTTAAGTTGCGCATATTGTAGTAGGCGAGGAGAGTAAAATTCAACAAGTGCTATCAGAGCTATATTGATGGATCCGGGAGCGAGTTTGCAAGATAGACGTCATACAAAAGTAAAGATCAGCGGCGTTACAAGAATTAAGATGAAGAAAAGAAAAAGAAAAAAAGGAAGGCTGAGTGGCAGCAAGAGCGGGCGATGGCAAGAGCGGTAACATCGGTGGTTTTTGGTTTATTCGCTCGCGTGCAAGAGTCGAAAAATAGCAGCACATGAGGAGATTCACACATGTAAATATTTTGCAGCCATCCATCTTCTTCTTCTATTATCTTAAACTTCTCCTTCAACTTGTGCCAATGCAAATTACAGTTCTCAATGTTACCACTATTACACCACAAGTCCCAATATTTTTGAAATTCTTCACCATAAACAGAATTCAAAGAATGCAAATGATCGGCAATATGTCGCTACAGATGCCAATAACAATAACGATGCCTTGTGTTTGAAAATACTTTATGAATGGCATTACACATTGCTCGGTCTTGGTCTGTGATGATAGCACATGGTTCAATTCCATGCATGCAGTTTAACCATTCCTGAAACAACCAAACAAATGTTTCTTCTTGTTCATCAGCTAGCAGTGCGCAACCAAATAAAATAGATTGTCTATGATGATTCACCCCAGATGATTCACCCCAGTAAATGGTGCAAATGGAAGACTAAACTTGTTGGTTTTATAAGTCACATCAAACACAATAACATCATTAAACTTCAAATAAGTTGCTCTTGATTTTCCATCTGCCCAAAAAACACTTCTCATTTGTCTAGTACAATCTACTTCCAATGCAAAATAAAAATCTGCATCACTAGCCGCCTTTTTTTGAAAATATTGGATAACAGATATGCATTCATTGACAATATTGTTGTGCCTTTGAGTTTTCATATAGTCAATGCATTGTTGTGGTGTCACTGATTCATCTTCTCTTCCACTTGTCGCGTTAATAACACGAGAAATAGTGGAAGGAGTAATACCTTCTTCTTGCAAACATTCAATCATTTTTTACACCTTTTACTTCTATGAAATTGTTGTTGTGACCTATGCATCTTTGCTTTATCTGGACTACTGAGCATGTGGTTTGTGTGATCTTCAATAAAACCTACAACTATCCATGTTTTATCCTCCAATAATTTTATTCTCATCAGTGCTTTACAGCCAACTCTGGTCTCTCGCCGATGATTGATATTTTTCCCTATATCTCTCTTATCTTTATTAGATCTATAACCTTCTTTGTCATAAACAAATTTTCTATTCAACACTTGTTTATCTTTTTGAAAGTAATTCACTGAGCTTTTTCTGATTCCAAATCCCATCATCAAAGCATACGAGTTATAATAGTTGTAGGCCTCTTCATGACTACTAAACTTCATTCCTAAACACGGTTTTTCACCAATTTGCATTCTGAAAATAAAGATAATTGGGGGTCAATATATAATGTTACTCAATGTTACTATTTCAAACAACATATTTCATGTCAGGGAAATTCATGATATTAGTGAGGTACCTTGAAACAGGAATCGTTGTTGGAAAAGGCATGAAATCATCGTTACTATCACCATGAATATCTTCGCTACTATCACCAGGTTCAGCCATTTGATTTCTTTTTAACCCCAATAAGCTCTAAAATTTCAGTTAGCATACAAGTGGTCAATGTAAGAAAATATTCAGTGGTATGAAATTTCAGTTAGCATTCAAGTGTTAAATGTAAGAAATCTCTTTTCGAAAAAACAAAGCGAGGTTGTGAATTTTCAGTTAGCACTCGTATGACAAGAACCAAGGCTCGAGCTCAGGGGGGGTTCAATGTTCAGAGGGGGGTTACAATGTTCAGGGGTTTTTGGATGACCGCTCCGCCGCCTCGAGCTCAGGAACCGCTCCGCCGCCTCGAGCTCAGGAATTAGGGCTGAGAACTGGGAGAGAGAGAGAGCCGATTTGGGTTTTTGTATGACCGCTCCGCCGCCTCGAGCTCAGGAACCGCTCCGCCGCCTCGAGCTCAGGAATTAGGGCTGAGAACTGGGAGAGAGAGAGCCGATTTGTGTTTTTGGATGACCGCTCCGTCGCCTCGAGCTTAGGAACCGCTCCGCCACCTCGAGCTCAGGAATTAGGGCTGAGAATTGGGAGAGAGAGAGAGAGAGAGCCGATTTGGGTTTTTGGATGACTGCTCCGCCGACTCGAGCTCAGGAATTAGGGCTGAGAACTGGGAGAGAGCCATCGATGGGTTTTTCTCATAAAAACCCACAGTGTACGCGTACCCCAATCAGCTGATGCCACGTAAATTTTGAGCGCAGGAAGTTCCTGAGCTCGAGCTCAGGGTCTTTCAAAACTTTTAAATTAAATTTCTAAGTTTGGCTTGATTTTGTATTGCTATAATGAGAAGATTTTCTGAGAAATATACCTTAGAGTTATATATAAAAACGTTTTCTTGAGTGATAACTGGCTTCAATTAGATTGTCTAAAGTTATCAAGTGAATTTAGTTATTTACTGACTTCTTTAATTTTGTAAGTTGACCAAATTTTGTGGATATATTCACTGCAAACGCTCACGAGACTACAACTCGTTCACTAGGGTAACCTAGGGGTTTAAAGACTTGTTATATGCGCTAAATACAACCGCGATTCCTGCGAAAGTGAGTTAGGATTTTTTTTTCTTTCTTTGCTAGAGGACTAGCAAAAGTTTAGGTGTGGGGGTATTTGATAATCATATTTTAAGAGGACTAGCAAAAGTTTAGGTGTGGGGGTATTTGATAATCATATTTTTATTATAATTTTATACCCTTGTTATCTATTTTATATGAATAAATATACCACAATAATTGTTTTTATCTTTAATTGTAGGTTAATCAAGAATAAAACTCAAGATCTCTTTTCTCAATAAAAACCCATGAATTAAATAAAGAACACAAGCAAGAGCTAAAAAAAACCCAAGACCAGAATCAAGCTGAGTAGCTTGTAGAAGCCGGAGAAAATAAAAAAATCAAATATGAAAAAAATGTATTCAAGATGGTTGGCCATAAAGAAACGACGATATCACCTAATCCAGAAGGCAGAATTTAACATATAATATATGAAAATCAACTATCTCGATGAGACGAAGCCAACCGTGAAGTCAAAGTTTTTATTGGAGCATCGATGTTAGCATCTATGTGGGCATCGATGCGGGCATCGATGCCTGCATCGATGTCAGACATTCTGTTATGCATCAAAGGCTAAAAATGGATTGTTTTGGATAAGATTTTGATTCAAGGGCTCACATTCACTGATGTTTACTATAAATAGGGGTAGAGAGTGAGGGGTTAAGGGTGTAAAAATTTTTATAACTCTATTTGGAGAGGAGGACCACTCTTAATTGAGAAGGCCTTCCAAATTTATAACTTTTGTTACAATTAATAAAATAATTTTTTCACCACTTTAAATATTTTTTCTCTTTGTTGGATGATGAAGATGGAGATGAAGAATTATTTGGAGGTTTGTATTTCTTTTATTTTTTCTCTTTTATTTCTTTCTAGTAATTTTTTTATTATTGCTTATTAGTTAGATTTACATTCATGCTTGTAGTGTAGATTTATTTTCTTGTCTTTTTATTTCCTTTTTGCACTTTAATTTGTAGAGTAGATTTATTATCTTGTTCATAGTTTAGATTTTTCTTTTCTTTTTGTAATTAGTTCTTTTTCTTCTTGTTTTTATTTCTTAAGATGTGAAATTAATTCTTGTAGGAATCTTAGAATTGTATGAAACTAGTCTAATTTCCTTTATGTTATGCAAATTATTCTCTTACATTTAAAATGATCATGTTTAGGATAATCAACTGGAGAACTAATTGATAGAAGAAGAATTTGATAATCTATGCTTATCTTAAATGGTTTGATAGGTTATACTTATGAATTCTAGGATTACTATCTTGTTGTTGTTCTTATCATGATTTTTATTTTGACTTAGATGATAATTTGATAGGTTATACTTTCCTTAAATGGTTTGATAGTCTATACTTAATAAATCTAAATTGAAATATGACAAAAAGAGAATAGTTTGTATTTAATAATTAAGATTAGCTAGTGGATTCAATTCTAGATTTCCCATATCTTTAATTGAACCCTTCATCTTTTGTTTTCTTGATTTTTCTCTTTCTTGCTTTTTTTTTATACTTTGATTCTTTCTTCTCTCCTCTAAAATTTAATTTATTGTCACTTGCATATATTCAAAACAATCATTCCTCATATCTCTCCACAATCATAATTTTCATCGCTCCTAATTGTCACACACACAACATAAAAACAGATTCTAATTTTCTCCTACAAACACCCTCCTCGTGGGATCGATAACTTTTTATACTATAACTTGATCAATTGTGCACTTGCAATTTTAGGTATATGTTTATGCCTTATCAAGTTTTGACGCTGTTGCCGGGGAAGGTGGTTAAGTAGGTTTTAATTATTTTTATTCTTTAACTTGGGTATTTCTTTTGAAAGAACTACTTGGAGATTAAAGATCAATGGTTGGAGATTAAGGATTTGGACATTCGCTTGTGATAAGTCTTCTTTCTAATATTTTCAATTCCACACCTTTAGCTAGTTTCTCATAATTAGAGACAATTAGGATAATTTTTTTTTGTTGACCATAATAAAATTTACCCTCCACTTTGACATTTACTAACAAAATAATAAATTCAAACAAGAGCACTCTTTTCACTTTTGTTTAATTGTTAACCATAAAAAAAAGATTTTCTTTTTATCATCATTTTGTAGTTACTTTTAATTCATAGGGTTGCATTGCATATAGTTAGTAGAAATTCACCAATGTGATTGTAGCACTTGACTGTGCACATACTTAAAAATATTCAAGGGCAAAACCCCCTAATCAAGATAAGGTGAGAGATTTTCATCACCTTTTCCTTACCCCACAAATCACTAATTCCTCACTACATAAACCCAAGCCTCTTTAAAACTCATAAAACGCTGGCTCCTAAGGTTTCGAGCTCAATAAGATACAAGAGTTAATCTTTTTATAAGACTATTCACTTACACAAATAAAATAAAAATTACTACTCTCTTCAAACACACGCAAAGGACGTTTATCACCCGCTACTTGCGTGAGATCTTTGCATGTGCCGAGGACGTATTAGTTTGTGGACCGTCATGGATCAGATCCGGTTGACAAAACGAAAATTCAATGCTATTGCTTCATAAAGGAAATAACCGTAGAAGTGATAATCTCAACCAAGTGAGATTACGACTCCTCTCGAGATCAAAACAAAGTCTGATCTCAATGAATGACGAAACATGCATTGGAACCTTCGAATAGCTCCCTCTTTATACTGGAGTTCGCCAAGATCTCGCTAGCCTCTCTCAAATTCGTCAGAACCTCACCCTAGATCCTCTAAAATTCGTGGCTCCCTTCAGATCTGCCTTTATGAGGGTGCTAGGGGTGTATTTATAGATTCTAAATGTCGTGTTTGTGGATAGGATCGAAGAACAACCGTTATTGTCCCTTTAGGTAGGTTT